AGGAGGGTTGGGGTGTGATTCTGGCGCTCCATCGGAATCGCGAGTGCAGTGCACGCCATACGGATGTATGATGGTACGCCTCACTAGTGATTCTGACTTTGTGCCAGGGTCACGACCCGCTCCACTCGGGACTGTGATTCTTAGTTGATATTGCGAAGTCTAACACTTATCTCCTGGTTCATTGAGGATTCCGTCTGGTTTAGGCAAAGGAGTGGGCGAAAACAAAGAGGAATCTATGAAGACAGGAAATGCTGGCGCCCGCGTCGCTTGCGGAGTCATTGCTACAGCCGCACCCCAGTGACTTCATGAACAACTCGCCCGTTTATGAGATAATTCCATGAGTTTCCATTACCTAGATAGTCAACTTGTTCCCTTGTTTCATTACCTAGATAGTTAACTTGTTATTTTATTCGCTTGCTACCTTTTTATGTACGTGTTCGATATATCGGTTTTATTAACTCACCATGTAAGTCGTTTAATAAATCGAGTGCATCTATTTGTCCGATTTTTATCTTCTACTGTTACCATTATGAGTGTGGTGAAAACAGCGACTGTGTTCTTGAGAAGCATACATGAATTTTGTTGTTTGAGCTACATGTAGGAGCCGTTTTGGAGAAGGAGTGCAGCCTGGTCGAAATGGCGTTTGATGACTGGCGTCTCTGCGATAAGCAATATTCTGGAACGTCAAATCTAAGATCTATAGAACCGTCATCCGGCCGGTCGCGATTTACGGTGCTGAGTGCTGGCCTGCGACTAAAGAAGTTGAAGCCCGTCTCGGTGTGATGGAGACAAAGATGCTGCGCTGGACAGCCGGAGTCACACGACTAGACCGCATTCGAAACGATGTCATCAGAGAGCGATTCGGTGTAGCGCCGATGGTACATGTTCTCCGCGGGAATGATGGCGGTAAGATCGGTTTTAGCCTTGATGTGTCCGTAAGGCGGCCAAAGGACACCAGGAGCAACGCTGGCCTGATGCGTTGCACGGAGACAAAATTGGTTAAAGGCAAAAGTCGGGCTCAATAAGGGGTATTATGGCGATTGAAACTGAGTATAGAGATGCGAAGTGGAACGACAGTGGAGAAAAAACTGAGAAAAACCGTCGACAAGGCCGTTAACAAAACCCTCTCCCACTAGCAGTGAAAGAGGCACGTACAAACAAGTTTTCTGGATATGTCAGTCGTTCCATCGGGTATACGGCAATCAACCTAGCTGATTTCACACATTATGCCAGCCACGCACCACTTCCGGAGGTGGGCGGTTCCTGGATTGACCAGGCGGCCCTGGATTGAAACCGAGCGCCCCGGGGCCTTAACGGGGTTTTTCAAGGTGGGAAGTTGCTGCAATGTGTGCAGCTACCCACATACAACCTTCCAGGCACGGAAATTGCTTCTCTAGCGTGCCTGAGCCCGGCCTCTGCTTTTAACCAGGAACGGTCGCGTCATTTCGCATCGCC